AAAACTATCTTTTCTTCTTTTTTTTCTTTTTTTTTTTTTTTTTTTTTGAAATGTTAGGATTGTTACAAATGGGGTCAAAGAAGGGTTAATGGGGTCAAAGTGGTGACGGACCTACGTAAGGTAGGGGTCTGAGCTCACAAAGTGTGGATAGAAGTTAGGGCGTGAGAGGGGCAGATAGAGGTTAGGGCATGAGAGGGGCGAATAGAGGTTAGGGAATGAGAGGGGGTGGATAGAGGTTAGGGCGTGAGAAGTGCGGATAGAGATTAGGGCATGAGAGAGATAAGGGTCAAAGAGATGAGGGCGAATGGAGGTTAAAGCGCGATAGATATGTATGGAGGTTAAAGAGATGAGGGTGGATAGAGGTTAGAGAGATGAGGACATAAGGGAGTGCTAAGAGAGTGAGGGCAGATGGAGGAGTGAGAGATGAGGGCAGATGGAGGTTAGAGAGATGAGGGAGGAGAGGAGTGCTAAGAGAGTGAGGGCGGATGGAGGTTATAATGATGAGGGCGGATGGGAGGGTGAAAGAGATGAGGCTGGCGGGGAGAGGGTGAAAGAGATGAGGGTGGACAGAGGTATAGGAGCGTGAGGGGGATAAGGGTTGATGGGAGAGGGTGAGAGAGATGAGGGCAGATGGGTGAGGGTGGCTGGGAGAAATGAAGGCGAGAGAGAGGGTGGCTGGGAGAGATGAGGGCAGATGGGAGAGGATGAGAGAGGTGAGGGTGAGAGAGTGGGTGGCTGGGCCCACCCTAGGTGTGGGTCCAGGGAAAGAGCGAGATAGAAGAGGAAAGAGAAAAAGAGAGAGGGGGAAGGATGGGAGCTTGGACCCATCCTGAGTTGGAGCAAGAGAGAGAGAGAGAGAGTGAGGGGAAGAGAAGAGAGAAAGAAAGAGAGAAAAGAGAGAGAGAAAGAAGAGAGAAGAGAGAAGAGAGAGAGAGAAGAAGAGAGAGAGAGAAGAGAAGAAAAGCAGAGAGAGTGGACTAGAATGTGTACTTAACGTAGGTGCTACTTTCAGTTCGGTCCTTGACATGCACATAAGAGAGAGTCATGGTCTTGTGGATCATGACGTAGG